AGTAGGGCTTTTTACTCCCTCTGGAAACTCCCCAGGCTGAATCATGGAAATCAGAGACGGAACATCCCCCTTCTTGCCCAGTTCAGTTTAACCACTGCAGCCTGTGGTCTGCTCTGCTGCCACTACTGGCCAGCCTGCCTCTCCCTTAGAGGCCAAGGGGACCAGTCCACCCAGGGAGAGGGAGGGGGTCACGAGGTGTGTCAAGAGCTGCATAGAAGCATGGGGTAGCATGCATTGGACCAGGGTATGTGGATCTGCAAAACTGGCCACAAATGATGGTCATCTCTGCTGGGCCAGTGCCTTGGAATCTTGAAATACAGCCTCCTCCAGGAACCTCCCTGGGCAGGCAGGACAGCCACAAGGAATAGAGGAAGGATGGTGCCTTGGTCAAACTTGCCCTTGGTAGTAGTGATATTTGCACAACTCCGTACATTTACTAAAAAAAATTATTGAGTTATATAATCAAGTGGAAGGAGTTCATAGTATGTAAACTGTACCTCAGTAAAACTATTCGTTAAAAATCTGACCCTTGGCCTCAACACCCTGCCCAACTAGGACTCTGCTGACCTCATAGCCATACCTCAAACCCACTTCCCCCATTTCTTAGAAACTCTTTCAGGCTGTGTCCCCTCTAGTTATTGCCCCTTATCCTTAATTCTCAGCCTAGCAGTCCCTTCCTCCAAGACCTCAGATGGCCCACTGGGTCCCCTTCCAGCTCATTTCACACTAATTTGCATGACTGTGGCCCCAGCTCCTGTGCACTCCTAGAAGGCAATGCTGAGGTCTGGATCTGTGTCCTGTGCTGTCTGTCTAGTACCACAGAGCACAGGGCTGCTGTTAGGGTAGGTAGAGGGGGGATGTGGGCCACCTGTGTACCAGTCCACTGAATTATAGCACCACTCCACGCCAGATGTCCCCTCCTCTACCATGCTAAAGGTTCAGGACAACCTTACTTGGGGTGAAGTAAGGCTTTTTTGGGGCTGAGGGTAGAGTAAGGGCACTACCACTACCTCTGGTGACCTCATTGCCAGCTGGCATTATGATGTCACCGGCCCAGCATTCCAGGTTCCTGCCTGGGCATCTCCAAGCTTCCTAGGTGGGGGCACTCCACTGGGGTCTGTGACAACCTATCCCCAACCACGGAGAAGTGACAGGCATGGTAAAATCCTGGGGGGCAGGAGCAGCCTCAGGGATAGATGGGTCACCCTACCTTGGGCTAGTCTTGTCTATTGCCAGGAAGAGCAGAGTTTGTCACTGAGCAGGGTGACTAACACTTGGGCTCTGGGTTCATATTCTACCCCTACCAGGCACCAGCTGTTTGACTCAGGCTGACAACTTGAACCTCTGTGAGCATAAAAGTTTCTTCATCTCTAAAATTGTTAATAGTTGCTGTCTCCCTGGGTTCTAGTAGATACAACTTATAAAGCATGAGAACACAGGACCTGGGACACAGTAGACGCTCAGTAAATGCTAGTTGATAGGATTAGTTAGTGAAGATTACCTGAGTGTCAACTTTTATAGTGGGGGCCAGCTAGAAGGAGCAGGGCCTTTGCCTTCTGAAGCTGGCCAGGGCCTTAGGGTAGAGGCATGGAGTGGCCCCCACTACCAGGAGTGGTCCCGGCTTTGACTCTCCATCTCTGCCCAGCTCCACCAATGAACTCAGGCCTGTAGGAGGCACTGGAAGCTGAAAACACATCGCACCCCCTTTCTTCTCCCCCATTTACTCATTCTAGGCCTTTGGCAGAGCTGATGGGTCTGATCTGGTCTCCCCCACTTCTCCCTTCTCTGCCTCCCTCTCCAGGGCATTTTCCACATGTCTCAGACCCTGCTCCCCATGATGATCTGTCCCTTAACCTTGACCCCTTGCCCCTTCCTCTCCAGGTCTCCTTTTCTCTGACCCACCCCCTTAAGTTCTCTGTCTTATGATTCTTTATCCCCGCCACCTGTCTCTGTTCTTCTGCCCCCCCATGTGCCCCTCTGCCCCCCAGCTCTCTGTGACTGACCGTCCCCCAGCCCCCTGGGCTCTGTCCCCACCCGTCAGCCCCTGGTCCCAGCTCCCGGCTGGCCGGCTCCTGCATGGACAATGGGGTCCTTTGTGGGCTGACCGCGCCTGGCGGGGCGGCGGGGCGCTGGCTCCGCATTGCTGATGAAACGGAGCCCTTTGTTGTCCCTCCTCAGGCGCAGTATTTCTTTTTGGGGGCTGGATGCGTTCCTGGCAGGGCCGATGATGGATGCGCCCGCCGCCGCCCGCCTGCCCGCCAGCTTTCCCTCCCGCTCATTCCTGCTCCGCTTCAACGCAGCCCCAGCTCCTCCCCTGCTGCCTGGGCACTGCCAGGCCCTTCCTGGCCTGGAAGGGGTTTGCTGTGTGCCCTGCAGTAGAAAGAAGGCTAGGGAGAATGTTCCATCTATAGCCTTTCCTTCCATGAGTAGGGCACATGGGGCTTATGGTCAGGGGTCCACTGGGACCAGGGCATCCGTTTTTCCTAAGATCTGAAGATGAGCCAGGTACAGGGGCAGATTTGGAACAACCTTGAGGACTAGATGTTGATGTTTGCCTACTCTGGATTTGAGGACAAGGTATCCCTGCGGGCCAATCCCCCTTGGTTAGCCCCCCTTCAACTTCTGTGGCTGACAAATCATAGTGTTCTGCCTACAGCACCTGCTTAGTGACATATCACGTCTTCTGGTACCAAGCCCAGCATGTCCCAGGACCTGGGATGCTGGAGGCAGGTGGTTCCTGAGGAAGAACAGAAAAGTGGAAGATCAGAGAAATTCTAAAAGAGGGTCAGAGATGAACAGACCCTGAGGTTTGGTCCCTACCAAGAGATACTCAGGATGGAGACAAAAGCTGAGAGACTCAGCAGAACGCCTGCCCTAAACGCAGACTGGCTGTGTTGGAGGGAGCTGACTTCTAATTGACCTGCTGGCCCCCCCCCCCCCACAAATGCAGAGCCAGATCCTGAAGCTGGGAGGAGGGAGGAGTGAGCAGAGCAAGAGCAGCGTTAATGCAGCTATCGATTTCTGCCACCAGCTAGCAGGCCGCAGAGGCTGGGGACATGCACGGGGGCTGGGGCACAGACTGCTCCCCTCCCCACCTCTCCAGCCCACAGACACCTGCCTTTTCCTGTTTTCTCCCCTCACCTTGTATCTGGGGCTGCCAGAGTTGTCATCCAGGGTGTGGTAGTTGAGCTCAGATTGGCAGGAGCTGGATAAGGGGTCACCATTCCATGAAGACAGGGCCTGAAAGCCAGCCTGGGCTTGGCCTTGGAGGTGAGAGAGAACACATATCCTGGGGCACATGTGATCTCCTTCCTCTTACTATGCTTCTGACCTCTTGATAACCCCCCTCCCCCCAATCCCAGCATGGACACCCTTGCCAGGCCCTCCTAGGTATGTCTTAGTAGAATCTGTCAGCTTGCCTGGCTCTTCCTCACCACCATTTACCTTTCCTAGGAAGGAGCTATAGGCAAGGCTAGTGCCTGTAGGTGAGGGTCAGGCAGTGTAAATGTAGATGCCTGCCAGTTGCCTCATCCTGGAGACAGAGCTTTCCCTTTCCCACACTTGTCCCCTTTGTGGCCACTCCTTAGCAGTGCTGGGGCAGGGAGCCCTGCCTTTTTGGGGCCTCAGTTTCCCCCTTTATAAATGTAGAGAGTTAGAGTAGATGATCTCCTAGGACTGCCTGAGTCCTGTGACTGGGGGATGGTGGGGTTTCCTGGGGACAAAGATCCAGTGTGCACTGTCTGCAAGCCCAGGGCGGGATGGGGCCACCAGATGTGCACCTCCCCCTTGAGCCACCAGCTGCTAAGGGGCTGGGCCCTGTCCTCCCACCCCTCTCCTGGGGGGTGCTGGGCCACAGCAGGCAGACAGAGAAAGGACACTGGATAGCCAATGAGAAAACTGCCACCCCACTCCCATCTGGACCTGTTCCTTCCAGCCAAGGAGGCTGGCTGCTCTAATGCCTTTGCTTTGATGCCTGAGTAGGCAAGCCCTGTACTGGGGAGGACACCCAGAAATGTGGAAGCAGCCAGAGGACAGGCTCTGCTTGGCTCCATTCCCTCAAGGGTCATATCTGCTTTCTTAGTGCCAGTCTGCCCCAGCCAAAGGCCCCTCCTATCTACAGCCTCCCGCATCAGTTCTCTGTGTTCTCACTGCAACCTCCACCCAGTCCCTACTCTTCAGGCCTTGTGAGGCCTCTGCCCCCTTGCCAATCTGGGAGCCAGGCCAGAACACCACAGTGTGGCCTGAGTAGAGACAAGAGTGGGGTCTGAGATAATAATGGCTGTGGTTTGGGAGCAGAGGAGGAAGTCTGTGCGCAAGCATGACCTCCCACTCTGGAAGGGGAAGGCTTGTCCTCTGGCCCAGTAGTGTTTGCAGTAAGGGTTCTGTACTCTATTGGCAAACTCTGGGTTAAACAAAGGGCAAACAGGTTTCTTCACTTACAGGACCTGTCAGAGCCTTGAGATAACTGATGTCCTATGTATATTAGAAATCTCCAAATGAGGATCTGGGGCAGCTAACCAGACTTTTTGGTCTCTACCTTCAAATATGCCTCTCCTTAGATGGGTCAGGGGAAAGAAGATTAGGAAGTGGAGGTGACTCTATATTCCCCCAAAGTCAGGAAGCATCTCTGGTTCTCTCCCACTCCAGCTAGCAAGATCTATCAGGTCTTGCTAGCAGATGTGGGCTGTGGAAAGGTGCTCAGCTTCCACTGTGCCACTCAATGGCTTATGTATCCATAACTAATAATTCTCCTAAACCTCATTTTTCTTATTTATAAATTAGGGAATTATCAGCCACTACTTCATAGGGTTCTTATGAGTCTCAGCTGAAAAAGTGTAAGTAAAAAACTTCTAACCAGGCTGGGTCTGGCACTTAATAAATGCCTGGTCAATCTTGTGGTTGTGACAACAATATGGTTGACAGTGGTGGTGGTGGTGGTGTTTAAGGAGGAGGTGAAGTGTTCACTGCTGCCCTGACCTTGTATCCTCTTGTCCTGACAGTGAAAACCTTCCACGTGGACAGTTGACCATGTGCCTGCCTTGAGCAGCGAGGCCCACCAGGCGTCTCTGTTGTAGGTGGCAGAGCCAGGTGTTCGTCTGCAGACCTCCAGCAGTTGGCAAACTCCCCCAGCAGCAGGATCCGGGCCTTGGCCCCACCATGTCGAGCCTCAGTGGTGGCTCCCAGGACACCGGTGGCAGCAGCAGCAGTAGCAATAACAATGGCAGTGGTGGCAGTGGCCCAAAGGCGGGAGCAGCAGACAAAAGTGCGGTGGTGGCTGCCTCATCCTCAGTGGCAGATGATGCACCACCCCCTGAGCGTCGAAACAAGAGCGGTATCATCAGTGAACCCCTCAACAAGAGCCTGCGCCGTTCCCGCCCACTCTCCCACTACTCTTCCTTTGGTGGCAGTGGTAGCAGTGGCGGCAGTAGCATGATGGGCGGGGAGTCTGCTGACAAGGCTGCTGCGGCTACAGCCGCTGCCTCGCTGTTGGCCAATGGGCATGACCTGGCAGCAGCCATGGTGGTGGACAAAAGCAACCCTACCTCAAAGCACAAAAGTGGTGCTGTGGCCAGCCTGCTGAGCAAGGCAGAGCGGGCCACAGAGCTGGCAGCCGAGGGACAGCTGACGCTGCAGCAGTTTGCGCAGTCCACAGAAATGCTGAAGCGTGTGGTGCAGGAACACCTGCCGCTGATGAGTGAAGCAGCCGCTGGCCTGCCTGACATGGAGGCCGTGGCTGGTGCTGAAGCCCTCAATGGCCAGTCCGACTTCCCCTACCTGGGCGCTTTCCCCATCAACCCAGGCCTCTTCATCATGACCCCAGCAGGCGTGTTCCTGGCTGAGAGTGCGCTGCACATGGCTGGTCTGGCCGAGTACCCCATGCAGGGAGAGCTGGCCTCCGCCATCAGCTCGGGCAAGAAGAAGCGGAAACGCTGTGGCATGTGTGCGCCCTGCCGGCGGCGCATCAACTGCGAGCAGTGCAGCAGTTGTAGGAACCGAAAGACTGGCCATCAGATTTGCAAATTCAGAAAATGTGAGGAACTCAAAAAGAAGCCTTCCGCTGCTCTGGAGGTAACGGCGCCATAGAGGGAGGTGTGTGGGCTCTTGCATCTGTCTGGCAGTCCAAACCCACCCCTAACCCCAACCCCATCTTTTCTACCTGGGCAAATGTCGGATGCCCAACCAGTCCCTGAGGTCTGGGGGCTCTGTGTTCAAGACACCACTTCATTGTCCTGAAAAGTCAGAGCCAGATCCTGAGATTCCATGAGGCTATAATTTGCTAGGCAAGCATAAAATTCCAGACAGGGGCCTAGCATTCTTAGCCTGGCCCTGGGGTTCTGGGTCAGATATTGAGATTCCCGTACATGTCCTAAGTTTCTGATGTTCTGACATGTCCAAAGCATCCAGTCCATGACCTAAGATTCCAGGGCTTTTCCCTATCCCATTTGAGGGGTTCTGTCCCATGGACACTGTGGCCTTGAGGGTAGGCTCTTCATTTGCCCCTCCAGAGCCCAGTTTTTTACCCAAGGCCATCCAAGAATAGAGCTGACTCCTGGAAGACTTCTAGGTGACAGATTCTTTTAGGCTAGAGTCTGGGTGGCCATGGCCCTGGAGTATAGGCAAGGGGCTGTCCACTATATGACTGGCTTAAAGAAAGCAGAGGAGTTCCCAGTGCTGCTTTCTCTCCCCCATTTTGGCAGGGCTGTCCCTGTGCCCCCAGATACAGCTGGAATACTAGGCCTAGGTAAAAAAAAACAACATTTTTTCAACCTGTTGTCTCTGTCCCTGTTTCTGCCCCTCTACAAGTGGGCTTGATGTGAATGTCCAGAATGGTTGAAAAACAACAGTAGTGTCCTAGCCATGGCCTCCTGGCTGCCTTTCTCCTTTCCTCATATTTCTGCTTTGCTGTGTGCACATATAGGCTCCCTCTTTCGTCCAGTATAGACATGTACACTTCTGCCCAGTACACACATTCACAGACACACCAAATACCAGCCACCACAGCTCCATGCACGCTACAATATAGCAGAGCAGGAGGCACACACTCATATTCACCTCCAGCGCACATGCTTATGTGCTCCTTTGCCAGAAGCATGCACACAGCCCCCAGATGCACCACAGCCTCCTGGCTCTTGTTGCCTTTGGGCCAGGAAAGGGGTCTTCCTATCTGGAAGGAGGGTTCCTGGGCACAGCAGCCCAGGAGGCTCCAGGGTACTCTGGGCCCCGCAGCAGCCCAACGGGTCAGGTTCCCTCTCTGGCCTGGCTTGGGACAGCAGGAGCGCCTCGTGGTGGCTGCTTTTACTTCGTGCCTGTCCCTCCACCGTAAGGCTATCTACAGGGACGTCTTTGCGCCAGGCCCATCCGGACCCTGACTGAACTCTCTCCTTGTTTTTGTCTCCTGCCCCCGCCAGAAGGTGATGCTTCCGACGGGAGCTGCCTTCCGGTGGTTTCAGTGACGGCGGCGGAATCCAAAGCTGCCCTCTCCGTGCAATGTCACTGCTCGTGTGGTCTCCAGCAAGGGATTCGGGCGAAGACAAATGGATGCACCCGTCTTTAGAACCAAAAATATTCTCTCACAGATTTCATTCCTGTTTTTATATATATATTTTTTGTTGTCGTTTTAACATCTCCACGTCCCTAGTATAAAAAGAAAAAGAAAAGAAAAAATTTTAACTGCTTTTTCGGAGGAACAAGAACAAAAAAGGAGGTAAAGATGAATCTATAAAGTACCAAGACTTCCTGGGCAAAGAATGGACAATCAGTTTCCTTCCTGTGTCGATGTTGATGTTGTCTGTGCAGGAGATGCAGTTTTTGTGTAGAGAATGTAAATTTTCTGTAACCTTTTGAATCTAGTTACTAATAAGCACTACTGTAATTTAGCACAGTTTAACTCCACCCTCATTTAAACTTCCTTTGATTCTTTCCGACCATGAAATAGTGCATAGTTTGCCTGGAGAATCCACTCACGTTTATAAAGAGAATGTTGATGGCGCCGTTTAGAAGCCCCTCTGTATCCATCCACGCGTGCAGAGCTGCCAGCGAGGAGCTCACAGAGGGGGAGGGAGTGCCCACCCCCAGGCCCAGGCCAGCCATGCCTCACCCACAGCCCCCAGGCTGGGATTTCCTCACCCCTACAGTAATGATTTTGGAAAAATGAAAGTTCTGTTTGTTTATCCATTGAGATCTGGGGAGCCCCTCTGTCGATATTTCCAATCCTGGCTACTTCCCTTAGAGAAAATAAGTCCTTTTTTTCTGGCCTGGCTGATGGCAACAAAAGAAAGGGCTTTTTGCGAGGTTCCCTGCTGGTGGGGGTGGGTGCCCATAGGGCTCCCTGAGGCCTGGGCCCCCCTGCCCTTGGCCAGCTTCCTGCTGATGAACATGCTGTTTGTATTGTTTTAGGAAACCAGGCTGTTTTGTGAATAAAACGAATGCATGTTTGTGTCACGAAGCACCGCTGGCTTCTTGCTTTCTGATTTGGGGCACCTGGCTTGGGGGGCTATTGCTGGGCAGGGGTTGTCTGGGATCACCTTGAGGGAAGAAGGATGGCCCAGGGACATTTAGTGTGAGGATTTCTTGGGAAGAGAAGCCTTTGCGATCCAGAATGGGGGCGAGTAGGAGCAGCCAGCCTGCAGGCAGATGAAAAACTGCTCTTAATCTGGAAGTGGCTAGTACTGGAGCACCTCACCTGCATGGCTGTATCCCATGCCTCAGAATCTCGACCTTCAGGGATCTTCACTCATCTGAGGCTACCTTCTCTATTTACCTAAATTCATCAGTGCCAAGCTGCTAGCAGTAGGGGACATGGGGTGGAGGGTCAGCTGCCTATTCAGGGTCTTATTTATTTATTCTTGCCTGGCGGGGATCTAGTACTCCCCCAGCCACTGATGTGATCCCCAGGGAGTAGTTTTAGCCTAGGTTTATGGGGGCCTGGCTGTGCCCAGCACCCATAGACATATATACATACACAGACGCTCTTTAGCCCTGAGGGCAGCTAGACTGAGTTCTGGGGGTATCCCTGGCTTTGACTGCCCTGATCACAGAGGATGTTTGGTACAAGGTTTTCTGTGACCTTGTGGGCCAGATGTCTAGGGAAGTCACCACATAGCTACTTGGTCTGGGCTGGGGCAGCCTGAACAGGGTTGCAGTTGCCTCTCCTCCCCATACGTCACAGAGGCAGCCTGAAGGAAGAGGCCTGTCCATCCGCTCGGGGAGCATTTCTTTTCACCCAGCTACTTCGAGCCTGGCTGAGCCCAAGGGTAGACTTCAGGAAGGACTTCCTGATGTTAGGGCCTGGCTTCAGATAGGTGAGGGAAGGAGCAACTTGTGAAGCCAAGTGGGCTGTGAGGTGGGAGAGATGGGCTATCTCTGCCATTGTTCCTGGGATTAGAAAGCAGTGGGGGTAGGGGGTATGGGTGAGAGGCAGTGCCCCCCCCAACCCCTTCCCGGGTGTCACAATCTCCCTTCCAGAACCAGGGCCTCAGCAGCTTGGCCTGGCCCAGCGGGGGCGGTTGGGGGTGGTGGAAGGCAGCTTTCAACTTCATCTCTGCCTGGGAAAAATTCCCTTTCATGTGGCTGCCTGTGATCTCTCCAGGCGGCTCTGCCGAAGGGGGGCGTCCAGCAGGGAGTAGGGGGGAGGTGCTGCAGCTGGGGGGTACGCTCACCCCCAGCACAAGGCAGAGACTGCGGCCTCCCCAACCTCAAGGGGGAAGAGTCCTCCCTGGGGGTGTGGGGGAGGAGTCTGGCCAGCAGGGGGCACCGGGCAGGAGGCCCCTGCCTGCCCCCACCGCCTGCTGCTGGCAGCACACAGGCTGCAGATGGCCTCAGCCGGCCCTCATTGGCACACCTACAGGTGTGGGGTGGACGGCTCTGGGGCCAGTCCCAAGGGGGGTGCTGTGACTCAGCCAGCCCGTACTTTTTAGTGTGCCAACCCACAGCACAGCCATGTCTCCTGGGCCCACCCCCACAACAAAGATACCCAAAGCTCAAAGCCCTTTACCTCTTCCAGCTTCGTGCTCTGCTTTGTGGAAATGGCAGGCCAGCCCTCTGTATTTGGAGGAAGCCAGGCTGGGGATAGCTGTGAGGCTGAAAACACCCCAAGGACTCAGTTACCTCATCTGGGAAAGGGGATAGTAATTGTCTCCCCCATAAAGTTGCCTGAGGATAAAATGAGATCACACTAAGGAAGGGCATGGCTCATAGTAAGCACTCAATGGCAGCTGGTGTTGCTATTTTAAAACTATTATTCAGGCTCTGTGCCTGTGGCTCAAGCAGCTAAGGCGCCAACCACATATACCTGAGCTGGTGGGTTCAAATCCAGCCTGGGCCTACCAAACAGCAATGACAGCTGCAACCAAAAAATAGCCTGGCATTATGGCGGGTGCCTGTAGTCCCAGCTATTTGGGAGGCGGAGGCAGGAGAATCTCTTGA